AATGTTTGAGGTCGTTGTTTGGAATCTTTGTTTTCGTTTTATTTATGGAAATTTTATCATTACCGTCAAAGTTGTTTAAATGATAAGAGAGACCAAAAAAGACCACGGTCTTGTTGAGGATAATAGTCTTTTATTGGTAGAGCGATGCTTTTCTTTGGGATCTTTAAAATTGTTATGATTTTCATTTCTTCCTATGGCCTCATTTTAAGAACACATGCGCTTTCTTGGTTAAGCTTGTTAACTGTTCATACTCTCAGCGGCCCTATAATAATACAAAAATTACACACTGATGGTTAGATAATTTGATTTGATTAAATGAGATGATGATGAAAATTGGCCGCTGAAAAGAGTTGCTGAGGCTAACGTTTTAAACATGAGCCCTTCGTCAGAGCGAATAGAGGAATTGTGGCTTGCGTGGGGTTTGAATGCAGAAAAATGGAGTCACGCTTTTGGTGGGAACACGGTAACGTAAAAAACACAAGAATTAATTAGGTAAATGAAAAACATGGAAGAATAAGAGCGCTCATTTGAAAGATTCTTTATACTAATAGATAGGCCCATCCAAGATAAAAATGTTTTGGCTCTTACAACAGGGAGAGGAAGTGAACATAACATATCGCTGGCAGTGCCCTCGGGCAGTATGAAGCGAATCTTGTGTTTTGATTGGTTACCGGTACTACACTCACACGGCTCTGTCGCAAAAAAACTTAAAGGAAAAAGGAAGTAGCAAAATAGGTGCGTTTTTCGATGAATTCTGAGTTTCTTGTTCTAACTCGAAGAAACAAAGGGGGAAATTTATCGTAGAGTCCTTTTTCTGGTTGTCCCACTTGCATCCGTTTATCGCGTACTATTTAGGTCGAAAAAAATTTCGAAAAAAATTTTCGAAATTTTGTAACATTTATTGGTCATATGATAAGATGCTTATTGACTGAGTGGGAGACTGGGGCCCGACGGTAAAATATTTGGCTCTTGGTCATGACGCATTGAACTCGCTACCCTAAGTCCCTAAGTCATGATCTCGAGCCAAATATTCTCCTGTCCGGCCCTCCCCCCCCCAGTCGCCCACTCAGTCAATAAGTACATAATACGACCCAGGTATGTTGGTAGGGCATGCATTAGTTTCCTCGTGTCCACAAATTTATCATAGTGACAGATGAGTCGAGTTTGCCGCGAGAACTTGTGTTATCATATTACGCAGGAGCTGAAGATGCAATGTGAACACAGAGAGAACTATCTCAAAAATTATACAGTCCAACCACATGGATAAGATAAAGAAACAAGCTACTAACCTTGTGTCTATATTTGCCTGCTTCCCAGTGGAGGTTAATGACTTCCACTCTTTTTAATTGCTTCTAATGCTTGTTCTCGTTTGAAAGCTTTCCATATAAACTGTGGAAGGAAACCTTTAACTTGTTTAAACAGGGATCTTTTGTTTGTGTTCAACAAGTCTTTTTCAGCCCTTTCTCCAACTAGATATTCTCGCTTGCCGTAGTCCGGAAAGCAAAGTGGAAAACACGGTTCCAATCTGCTAGGATGTTGTTTGTTGATTGCTGAAGCCAAGTCACTCTGTTGTGCGGTGTCCTGGGGTTCACTGTGATTCACCGCAATACTGTCGCTTTGTGAGGCATCCTGTGTCATCGTGCTGGCAGCAATCATCAGGAGCATCAAGATTTTGAGTATCTCGTTCATCTGAGAAAAGACAATTTCCACTTCATTTCAGTAAGTATCGCAAGAATTTCATTTAAAAATGTGCACACAATTTCTTCCGCATTTTATTTTCTTCCGTTTTAAAGTATATTTTATTATAGAAAGGGACGGGGGGTGTTAAAGGGGAAGAGGGGAAGGGGGTAAGGGGGAAGGGGGGAAGGGTCGGGTGACTTTTTAGTTTCACAATAAATTTACCTCATTTGAAATTTAAGGTTTAAATATATTTTTTCTATACTACAACAATGCAATAACTGGATAGTTGACCCCATCAAAAAAACCTTGCTCTCGAGCAAGGTTTCTAAAGGAGGAAAATGGGATAATTTTCTTTTATCCACTCCCCCTTATACTCTGTTATCGACGACTGTTTCCCATATGTCCCCCCTGAAAACCATGTCCCAAAAATCCTCTGCACCGCACAATGATAACTGGTCTCTCGTGTTTTAAAAGGAAAGGGTTAAAAAAAAGCTAAACCAAGAGACTATCAATATTCTCTTGGCTAAACATAATACAGTCATAACTGTATTAAACGGTCACCCACGGGGATTGGCGCTTAATGCAGGTTACGCATAAAAGGGGTAAGATGCAAAACGATAAAAACGTCACTTTGTGCCAATAATTAACCATTTATATTAAAAATCTTGCTCAAAATTCTAAGAATGTTAATTTTGCGGGAGATATATGGATTAAATTTTACTTCAAAGATTGTTGTTAGTTTTATTTGAGTGGTTCCGCTTTAGTGTCCGTTCAAAGCAGGTGGAAGACAATACAAACACGCCGTTTGGACTCGCGACTACGACCGCTTAATAGAGGTGACAGTTAAAGTGATTAAAGGGGAACAAATATCGGGACTTTAACAAGCGATCGCGTGGGAGAAGGTGAGCGCTACATACAGGGTGACCGCTTAGTATGTCGCCGCTCAGTATAGGTTCGACTGCAGTTGATTGTATTATGATTAATACATTGTTCTGTCGGCGCATATTTAGGTTGAAAATATTCGTTCTGCTTCATTTCCAATAATTAATTTCGTTGATCACGAAAGGAAAAATTGAAAAACAAGAC